TTAATTCGTGAAACGGATACACATCCTCTCTCCCGATGGCGTCGCGATGTCCGCCATTCGCGAGCACGCGCGCGCGCGCACCTCTGTTTCGAATTTGTTATCAGCGTTCTCTCGGCATTTCTCTCTCTCTCTCTCTCTCTCTCTCTCTCTCTCCTCTCATTTCAGTATTTCAATATCCCTCGGAAAAATGGATCGTTTCCATCTGGCAAACGAGCCGCCCGCGCCGCGTCGCGGTGAGCCGAACGGTCCATTTCGCGCGCGCTCGCTCGCTCGCTCGCGACCAGATAATTTACGTCTCACGAGGATTCCGGGCTTTAAAGCGACACGGGGATCCGCCAGAGGTGTTAACCGCGTAGCGTCTAATTTCTCAAGAGCGACAAGTTACATCGGTACCGAGATCCGGCAGGGATATATTTTATTCAGCGGCCAGATAATTAACGGAACTCCAACGGACTGGAACGAAACGGCGACGCGGCTCGCGACCGGTCGATCCGGACGGAGAGAACGATATTCGCGAGTATAAAGGGCGCTTTACACGGCGCTGCTTTTATTCGCTTTGAGTGAGTTTCTTGATTCGCCGGCGAATTCGCTGGTCAAACCTTCCAGACGCTAATTGTTATTTTTAAATTCAACTTTGTCGCTGCGGACATCGACGCCGCGCCTTCTTAATTTTAGGCGCCAGCGAGTAAAAATCGCGTGTCTAGAAAAAATTTTTATCAGTGAATTCGCTTGCTCGAAACGAATAAAAGCAGCGCCGTGTAAAGCGCCCTTTAAGGGTAAGCTGCACGATGCGCGAGCGGACGCGCGAGTATAAAGGGCGCTTTACACGATGCCGCTTTCATTCGAGTTTTATTCGGTAAATGAGTCTCTTGGTCCGCCGGCGAATTCGCTGGTCGAACCTTCCAGACGCTCAATTGTTACTTTTAAATTCAACTTTGTCGCTGCGGACATCGACGCCGCGCCCTTTAAATTTAACTTTAGACGCTAGCGAGTAAAAATGGCGTGTCTAGAAAAAAATTTCCATCAGTGAATTCGCTTGTGAAAAAGCTCGCTCGAGACGAATAAAAGCGGCACCGTGTAAAGCGCCCTTTAAGAGTAACCTGCACGATGCGCGAGCGAGCGCAGAAGTGCCTTCCGATAACGAGGAGAAACTCGCGAGCGGCCGACCGCGGAAATTGATCCGCGCGCGCGCGCGCGCGCGCGACGCATTTCCGCCGGCGCGCGGCGTCTCTCGCTCGCGAGAATCGTACACTCCGCGATTACTCATCGCGACGTGCTCGATTATTTTCAGGCCCCTCGCTCGGCTCGAATTGCTCGCTCGAGCTCTGTTTTGCATGCGGCGCGCGATGTTCGCGTTAATTCCAGATTGAGATACCGCGTTGAGCTGAGGTCACCTCTTCAAACGTTTCATCAGGCTCGACATTAATTAGACACCGCGCTTCTCGCGGCTCGCCGAAAGACTCTTCTCTCCGTTGCGATTTCTCCCCGACGAAAATTCCCGTGCTCCCCCAATTACTTTCTTACACTACGCGCCGCGAGAAATCAAGTTCGGCGCGGCTCTCGCGCGCGCGCGTGCTGGAGACGGAGAGCTTTCGTCGAGCAAGCCGGGCTCGAGCAAGAGCGCCTCGACGAAACTCCCGGGCTGTGTTTCCCCTCGAGATGTGTTCTCGTGTAAGCACTCTCACTGTTATGGCGCCATAAACAGCCAGGTATAGCACACGACCGGGCTCGCGACAGCGGCGCGAAGGAGCACTTCCTCCTAGAAGTTTCTACTCGTCGCGCGGTACAACCTCTCGCGCGACAGCTACCACGGCCAGCTAGTTTTTCACTCGTGACCGCTATATTTACAAACAGTGGCGTATTAATCATTCGGCAGCGGCCAGCATCCGTCACGAACGTGTACATGCGCTCTATTCAGCTTCTCTGTCACGTGTCCATGCTTATCGCCCGGCCGGCATCTCCGGGAGATCCGTTCTCGCGCGATTCGCCGGCGGCCCCGGCGTTTTTCTTCCCTCGACTTCCCCGGTCTATCTCTCGTTATCTTCGTTTCAGCGAGATACTATCGCGACGAGGTACGAAACGCCGCGCGCGTGTCCTTTTCGTTTTTAACGGGGTGGGACGCGAGAGCTTTCTCAGCGAGCGAGCCTAGTTTAATAGGCGAGGTTCAATTCGTTCGCGCGTGTCGCGCGCGTGCGCGCGATCAATTGTCCCTCTCGATGATGCGAAGGTATTATGACGATGAGCAAACATCAACGTCATGCGGATTTTGAAAATCAGCCGAAACGCCGTCGAGGACACACCGCGGCCGGCACACGGCTGGAAATCGGAAGCTCTCGTTCCTACGCGAGTCGCTCCTGCGCGCACCTTGCCACGAAATAGTCTCGATCGACTGTTCCTCCCCGAGTCAAACGAGCTCCTTGCACGTGTCTCAGGCAATCGGCCCGCGAAACGTGGCGGATCTCGCGAGCGCCGCTTCGTATCGACGCCGGACTCGACTCGCCCAGACACTTTCGTGTCGATCGAGTCGCTCTCGCATTCGGTAAACGCTTGACGGTAAACATGCCGATGAACAAAGATCAAGATACGAGCGTGACGGACGGAAAGCCTCTTGAGAAAGCCCCAAACTGAGGATTCCCTCTCGAAATTCGCGATCCGCGATTCGCACGAGAGGCGAGCGTTCGACGCAATTCTTTCTGCGCGATCCGAACGGAAATTTGCCGGCGTCCTCGCGGAGGACGCACACGATCCCAGGATCCTCGTCGTCGAGCACGTCGTTCGCCGTGGGTCGATAGTCCTCGTCGCGCACCACGTCGCGCCCCAACCGAGTGACATCTTCAGGATGCCGCAGGAGCCGCGGCCTCGTGAATCCGCGACGGCCGTGGCGAAATCGCGAGATGAGACAGAGAAATGGAGAGAGAGAGAGAGAGAGAGAGAGAGAGAGAGAGAGAGAGAGAGAGAGCTAGAGAGAGAGAGAGAGAGAGAGCTAGAGAGAGAGAGAGAGAGAGAGCTAGAGAGAGAGAGAGAGCTAGAGAGAGAGAGAGAGAGAGAGAGAGAGAGAGAGAGAGAGAGAGAGAGAGAGAGAGAGAGAGAGAGAGAGAGACAAAAAGAATAAAAAGAAGAAAGAGAAAAAAGGGAAGGAAGGAGGAAAGGAGGAAAAGAGAGCGAGGACAAGCGAGCGAAAGCGAGCTAGAGAGAGAGAGAGAGAGAGAGAGAGAGAGCCGGCGTGCGACCGTTGGAAGGGCGAGGGCTCGTCATCGTTGGCGGCGTTGGCGGTGTGGCGGCAGTGGCGCGGCGGCGGCGGCGGCGGCGGCGGCGATGACGGGGTACGAGGAAATCGATTCGGACGTCTGGGACCACGAGAGAGAGGAGGCCTCCGTAGCCTCCCTCGTTGAGAGGAAGCAGTTGGCGAAGAAACGCGTTCGTCGCGCGAGAGACGAGGAAGCTGTGACGGGCGCGGCGCGGCGGAGAGGGTCGGAAACGCGGGGGATGGGGGAGGGGGGCATAGATAGTTAAAGGGCAGTCGTCGCAGGTAGGTGTGTTCGGTTCGCTTGTCAAGCGTACTCACCCTAGGCCACTGAATAGACCCGCAACCGCCTGCCCGTTGCGTCCTCGTTGTCGTCGTCGTCGAGTCCGCGAGACCCACGTTCTGCTATCCGCTCAACCGTGTGCTTTCCGCGCTCGCCGGGAGTCCTTGATCGTCGCGCTGCCGGCTGATCGCGAGCACACAACGCGAATGCGGCGAAAGAGGGACCGTAGGAGGAGGAGGGGGAGGAGGAGGAGGAGGAGCAGTGTGCGGGGTGATAACGAGCACCGGCGGGGTGATAATCAGTGAGTCGCTCGTTCTTTCTCTCTCTCTCTCTCTCTCTCTCTCTTTCTCTCTCTCCTTTTCTCTCTCTCTCTCTCTCTCTCTCTCTCTCTCTCTCTCCTCTGTGCCTCGTGCAACACTCCGCGCGACACTGCTCCGAGATAGAGAGAGAGAGGAGGACCAGCGGTGCTAGACAGAGAGAGAGAGAGACACACACAGACAGACAGACGAACTGATCGACCGACCGACCGACTGACTGACTGACAAACAGGGAGAGATTATTATTGCGGCTGAGTGGGTGGAGAACGCTGAAGGGGGCGCATCTGAGGAGCGTACCGAGAAGGGAAGCAACCACCGCTGCTCTCGTACCGTTCGCGCGGGTGTCTCGAGCCTGACTGACACTCGGCTCCGAGGCTCCGGATCGCGGAGCCGGTCGACCGACCCCTTCGCACTCTCCGATTTGTTGTCTTCCTCTTTCTCTCTCGCACTCTCCCTCTCTTTGCCTTCCCTCTCTTCGTTTCACCGCCGACGTTGCCTCTCGTTCGGTCTCTCTTTCTCCGTCCCTCCCACCCTCTCTTTCTCTCTCTCTCTCTCCTCTTCCTCCGCTGCCGCCGCCGCCGCCGCCGCCCCCCCTCCCCCCCTCCTCCTCTCACTCTCTCGTCGCGACGCTATCTCCGTCTCTTTCTGCCGCTCCACCGACGCCCATCGCACGTATCGGGTGGTTTTCCTTCGCCCAGCCGCCCGTGCCCTTCGCCGCGGACGCTTCTGCTCGGCAGGAAGTCGGGAATTAGATCGACACCCCGTATGTGGCGGAGCGAGCGAGCGAGCCGGAGCAGCCGAGAGAACGCCTGCTGCTGCCGCTGCTGCTGCTGCTGCTGCTGCTGCTGCTGCTGCTGCTTGTGGTTTCTCATAGGACCCCAAGTGCCCCTGGACGAGATTCCCGGCCGAGAGACAAAGATATCGACGCGCATTCTCCGTTTCGTCGTGTCCGAATGACTCGGAGGCCGCGCGTATGCGGCGGCGGCGGCGGCTCCTCGGCTTCGAGGCTCGAGCGCGATCGGCACGCGGGAGGGGTTTCGATTAAGAAATGCGCGAGAGGGTAGGGCTGTGCTATCGCCAAGGGGAGGAGGAGGTCTCGTGGTCGTTCCCTCGACGTCGGCCCTTGTCAGCCGAGAAACATGAATTCGGTACATAGTGCGTGCATTTGGTATCTTTTATTGATCTTACGAGCTGTGTCTCGTGACAACCGTGTCGCGCGAGCTGCGAGAGCCGCTCGTCGATACGGACGTTTAATGAGGGATTTTTAATGCGGGGATTTTCATAGGCGGCCCCGGTAATGCGCGCGAGTTTTGGCGAATTCCGCGTACATATGAGAACGATCGATACTCGGGCGAGACTCGAGTCGCGATAAATCGCTCGCCGAGGAGAGAGATAGAGAGCCGGTGTGTACCGATTGTACAATTGTATCAGCTACAACTAGCGCTGTATGTCCGAAGGTAACGGACTAATTAACTAATTGGTCCAGTGTTTGCCGTGTATCCAAGTGCGAATTGATCCTCCAATTAGCGCATCGCTCGCACCGCACGAGAGAGAGAGAGAGAGGGAGAGAGAGGGGGGGGAGAGAGAGAGAGAGAGAGAGGGGGAGAGAGAGAGAGAGAGAGAGAGAGAGAGCGGTGTACGCTGTACGAAACGTCGATGTATCATAGGACGTGTCATAACGCCAGGTGAATCCTGAGAGGGTACTCAACACATTGCTGATCGACCATGTGGAAACTCGGTATACTATCGGCCAATTCGCGAATGGTCCCGAATGGCTGGCAATGACGAGGCAAGGCAAGAGCGGGAGCAAAAGGCGCGAGCAGTGTTGGAAACGGCCGGTCAACAATGTGTGTGAGAACGATCGACATACTCGGGCGCGATTTAGACAGCTCGGTGGTAACTTCCAGTGGACGCATTCCAGAAGCGTGTTCCAAAAGCCTTGCAGCAAAACAAGTCTTCGCAAGTGTCCCTGAGGTGTTCGATACGCGAGCCAACGGATCGTGAGCGACTCGAAGCCGCGAAGACGACCCGAACCCGAGAAAGATCCTTCGAGGATCCAGTTAGATAATCTAAGAGCTCAGTTAATCCTAGGAGCTCGATTAATCTAAGAGCTGACTTTCTCCTCTTTCCCTTGCGGGATGTCCTCCTCGATCATCACGCTGTCCATGGGCATGAGCTTGACCCGCTCAGCCGGGTTGGTTCTCATGAGGATGAACGGCAGCTCGGCCGACAGCTCGCCGCCCAACGCGCCCAGGTAAAGCTTGACCTTGACCGCGTAGGAGACGACGATGCCGAAGGAATCGCGCACGTCCGGCGAGGTGAGCAGGGTGCTGGACGCGAGCTCGCCCTCCTCCCTCTTCATCGTGCCGTCCAAGGCGATGCCGCGGCGTTGCCTGTTGCTCTCCATGTCCGGCTTGAGGTATAGCACCTTCTGCAGGTTCGAGCCGGGATTGATGGGGCAGCCGTCCTGCGTCTCGACCGCGGCGATCACCGTCCGGAACTGGCCGTTCTGGAAGATCACCACGTCGATGCCCTGCTGCACCAGCGCCTTGATTTTCTTCACCACCTTGTTGCTGTTGTTGCGCACGCACACGTTGACCGCGATCGTCTCGTTGTGGTGGTACAGCTGCTTGTCCAACGTGACCTCGAGCTCGAGCTCACCCGGGCTCAGGAGGAAGTCCTTGCGCACCACGGTGCACGGCTGGCGACCCTGCTTAGTGGGCGCGTACTGGATCTTCCGGATGCCCATGGTGACGGTGCTGCGCTTGTGGGTCAGGTCGGTCTCCGTCTCGCCGCAGTACACCTTCACGTAGTAGTTGACGCCGCAAGGATCGCCGGTCTCGTTCGGCCCGGGCTGAAGGGTCACGCTGGACGGCGCGCTTTGCGGGAAGGTGAAGGTGAAGGGTACCGCGTTCGAGCCCAGTTTCTTCAGCAACCTGTTTCCCACGGACATGTCGTCGTGATCCTTATTAATTCGGCTCGCGCGAAATTCTTCGTTGTCATTAGTCTTATCATTTAAGTCGAAACCGCGATACTTTAATGTCGGCTTATCAAAAATATCTCAGTGCGACGGGGATCAAAAATATCCGAAAGCATCGTAAAAGCCGAGATGGAGAGCGGCTTTTTCAAGGAGCTGCGCCATTGTGTTTGCTGAGAAAATTTATCACCCGGTTCTCTATCTAATTTTTAACAAAGACTCGCCCGACTTCGAGACAGATACTATACGTTTCGTGTTCGGCGTTCTTTTGTGTCTTATGGCTAAGAGGCAAAGGTTCCGACCTGTCCTGCAACTTGGTGAGGTTGAACTCGGGCTTTTTAATCTGCGGGAAAATCTGTTCCGACGCCAGGTAGAGATCCTTTTGGAAGTTCAACCCCATCACTTCGTCCTCCTCACGGCCATAACGGAAGCTGCATACCAGCTGGCACCATACTTTCCTGCCGCTGTCTGCGTAATCCTGACTTATCAGGATTACCCCGTCCACCGGCTCGGTGCCCGACAAGTAGTCGATGAAGTCGCGCTTGCCCAAGTAAACCGCGATCTTCGCGTTGGGCGAACACTTCTTGTAGACCTTGAAATTCGCCACCATGCTGAGGTGGTTGCTGCTTACTTTCTTTCGTTCAGAAGACTACTGGACCGTCGAGCGACTGGGTCGAGGACTTATATATATCGGGTGGACTAATGCTGACGCGTGATAGACTCGCTGGGGCTTCCTAAGTCGTTTAGGCATGCGGATGAAGCAGCGCGTTTTTAACTCGCACGCGCCGTGACTTTCTGCCTTTGCGAGATACTCGCGCACGCAATGCGGCTTATTTATGACGCAGCGTACGCTGCTCGCTCCTCTCCGCTTGCGGATAATTCAATCCCGAGGGTATTAACGAGCGTTGAGAAAGAGATAAAGAGAAATAATAGTGGAATACTTTCACGAGCATGAACGTGGTTTCTGCGTGTGTAGTTGTTTTTCTTCTTTCTTTTGTAAAGAAGTCGCAATGTACATTTTCGTAACTCTGACTTGTCCTCTCCTTCCTCGAGCTTCTTAGGCTTCATTTCAACGTTGGTGGCTTCAAAGCTTTAAAATCGATAAGCAGAACTTGGAATGTACATTCAATCCCGCAAATGCCTCACAACCGATAAATTGATGATTGCTACGAGTTTTCGGACGGTCGCAACGGTTTTGCTATATGTATACAATGGAAATTTTATTTTTACTACCCACATAATGGAAATTCTGAGTTATGGACATACCAGAAATTCAATTTTCGTTATGTACACATAGGAAACATTCGAATTTTATTATACAACACAATACAAAATTGTATTAAAATTCTGCTTGTAAAAATTCGGAATTTTTTTTATATCGCGATGAAGAAATCGTATCTCCATTATGTAGATAATAAACTAAATTTATTTTAAGTGATTTAAATTAAAAGATGGCTTTATCCGAGAAACTCAAACTATTTTAGTAGTTACCGTTTGAAAATGATTTGAGTCTCGGCTTAAATATTAGAAAATGGTTTAAGACTCGACTAGATCGATTTTAAGTAATTAAGTTTAAAGTTTCAGAAATGGCTTTAGTGGCGAGACTCAAGATAAGTATCAACATCGACGAGGTCGAACGAGGTTAATGGCGTAGCAAAAGCAGTCAGTATTGCCGTTGTTCTTCAATTACCGCCGGGCCCCTCCGGGCCCCTTTTCTTTCATTCTCTTTTCTTTTCTTTTAATTAAATGCATCGTTCTTGCGTTATAATGACACACCCTAACCAAGTTTAATAGTCTATGTGAAAAGACTTAATATATCTTGCATAGATCCCGAGCTTCACGCGATGCGTATTAATTAACAGCATGCCAGGAAAAGTCCAATTAAATATTTCAACAGGCTATTGAGATATTTTGTGTAAATGTAATGTAAAACTCAGCTAGCAAAGAAGGGAATACGATGCATGAAAAACTCAAAACAATAGATTAGAAGTAATGCGTAAAAATAGGGTGGGGACACGTAGAAATACTTACAAACAATATGACATAAACAGCAAGCGAAGCAACTAATCACAGTAGAGAACGTAAGCAATAACGACCGGTAATTAGTTGTGGTTTGCTTGACTGTGATCGTTTGATTTACTTACCGCTTAAATTTTTTTGCATCCTCCCCTCTCTCAGCGATCGTTGCATCAAACGATCAAATATAATCGCGCGAGCTTCGAGGTGGGGATCATTGAGCGCTGGTTCTCACGATATTCACGATCAGATCGTGCCGGCAAGTGATATTCCTGTCGCGTATTACTTTATTTTTTTCCGGGTGATTAAACTTTTAATCAATCAGACTTTCGTGGATATTATTTTATTTCATACGTGCACCTTCGCATCCACGCGGCATTAGAGTCAGTGTTGGTGCTACCATCCAGTCAACGACGGATCAGCCAAAATGCTGGACCGAGAAACCAAGATAAACGACGAATGATGAAAGACGAAAGTTCTAAAAGATTGAGCGTGAATAACGATGAAGCAGCTAAAGTGCTGAGTCGAGAAACCAATCTGTTGTACGAGCACATGTAAAAGATAAATTCGTAAAAATAAATATCATTTGGAAATATATAATAGAATTATCTTATTTAAACACCCTTTCCTTTACGCTTTACGTTACCTTTGAAAATCCCATCTCTATTGAAAATTGCAACTTTTTTAATCTCCCGCTGCATATTCGTGTTACCTCTTCAATCATTATATTCCCCTGACACAAAATGCGGAAATCGGGAAATTGAATAAAATCTGTAAATTTTCAACCTTCCCGTCAGAATTCCGGACACCTCTTCGCTCATTATATTCTCCTGATACAAAGTGCGAAAAACGGGAAAATGAAAAATTGAAATTTCCCACCAGAATCCGGGATACCTCCTCGCTCATTATATTCTCCTGATACAAAGTGCGAAAAACGGGAAAATGAAAAATTGAAATTTCCCACCAGAATCCGGGATACCTCCTCGCTCATTATATTCTCCTGATACAAAGTGCGAAAAACGGGAAAATGAAAAATTGAAATTTCCCACCAGAATCCGGGATACCTCCTCGCTCATTATATTCTCCTGATACAAAGTGCGAAAAACGGGAAAATGAAAAATTGAAATTTCCCACCAGAATCCGGGATACCTCCTCGCTCATTATATTCTCCTGATACAAAGTGCGAAAAACGGGAAAATGAAAAATTGAAATTTCCCACCAGAATCCGGGATACCTCCTCGCTCATTATATTCTCCTGATACAAAGTGCGAAAATTGAGAAAATGAAAAATTCAAATTTTCCGCTAGAATCCGAGATTCCTCTTCAGTCATTATGTGTTCCTGATACAATAGTCCGAAAACTGAGAAAGTGAGAAATTTCGAGTTTCTTTGCCAGAAGTTCAGGATACTTCTTTGGTCATTATGTGTTCCTGGTACAAAATGCGAAAGTCGAGAAAGTGAAAAATTACAAGTTTCTCACCAGAAGTCCGGGATACATCCTCGCTCGTTATATTCTCCTAATACAAAGTGCGAAAATCGAAAAAATGAAAAATTGAAATTTCCCGCCAGAATCCGGGATACCTCCTCGCTCATTATATTCTCCTGATACAACGTGCAAAAATCGAGAAAATGAAATATAATCGCTGTCGCTGACTCGCCTCGTGCCTTCTCCTACCGCACGCTCGCTCATCGGTGGTGCGACAAAGACAGAGAGCGATTGATCGTGTGTGCTTTTATAACTTATTATCTTAACCTTAAGGAAGTAGAGTGAAGACAAGAACCGTGCACGCTTTGCCGTTATCATCAGGACGGGCAGCGACTGTGCACACATTTCTCAGGGGGCGCGTCGGAAAAAGCGTCCCGGCGTAACCGGCCCGGTGGCCGCTCTCAGGTTTCTCTCTGGTAATATTTACGTTGCAGCGGGTGGGATATTCGTACCTAGAATTCGTCTAGAAGTGTTTGAAGTACGGTTATTGTTTTTGAGAGAGAAAGATGTGAGACGTTCAATGCACGAAGATGTCAAGAAATTCGGATATTATATCCGATGATGCGGTAAGTCCAAACATCAACATTTTAATACATGCGAGATATTGTTTTACTATTAGTAAATAAATAATAAATAACATCTTTTGGTTTCAACAACAAATTATGTAAAGATGTGTGTATTTTAAAAATTACTTACTGAAATATTAAAGATGAAGACAATGGCCTTGGCTATACCGCCAGACTCTCCCAAGAAGCCTGTGAAATCCACCGCAGTAGTAAAATATTCTGCTGTTCAGACACCGGCAACGTATGCTCAATTACAATGTAACACAGATCTGAATATGCCACCTAGCAATTGGCTGAGCAGTTCGGCAGAAAGTTATGGCTTGCAGAATGTTTGGTCTCAGAGTACAGGATTTTCTAGTTTTCGCATGGCGCACATGTTTCCAGACTGTGTCGGTGAAGTTGACGTTGTATCTGATGCAGAAAATATTAAGAAATTACTCAAGATACCTTATAATCATGGTGTGATTTCAATGATGGTACACCGTATTGAAAATACATTATTACTGGATGACTTTGATATCCACAAGTATTTATTGAGACAAGCCGAGAATGACTGGGAATGGCTGAAGGAGTTCTTCTATGAACATATTTTTCAAAACCTAGGAGATACAGAAAAACGTCTCTTTCACAAGGCATATAGCAGAAGCAGCCTGCAGCAGAGGAACCTGGTATCCAAGTTTCTCTATCATTCCATTGTACTTGCGGACACTGAGAAGCAGAATGAGAAACCTGAGTTTCCTGTGAAAACGTTAGAACCTTGTTTACCTGAACCAACGCAGGAGGAAAAAGTACCTGACCCGAATTATAACCATAATTTCGCGAGAAACGTTGTATGGACATTTGAGAACATACAAATGCTCGTTGGAACTGACATGCCGATATTTGGTGGCCAGACGCATCCATGTATAAGCTTACGACTAAGAGATATGTCGAAACCGATAAATGTTTTAACGGGGATCGACTATTGGTTGGATAATTTAATGTGCAATGTACCAGAAGTAGTGATGTGTTATCATCTGCACGGTATCGTGCAGAAATACGAACTGATAAAAACCGAGGATCTTCCAAATATGGATCATTCGAAGTTCAGTCCTAAGGTGATCAGAGATGTCGCTCAAAATATCCTGAGTTTCCTGAAAAATAACGCGACGAAGGCTGGTCACACCTATTGGTTGTTTAAGGGTAAATATATGCTTGGTAGAGATATGCTTTTATACAGTTTACAATTTAAAAGATGTAAATTATATCTCATAAAACTTACAGCTTATAAGCTGTGAATATTTCGTACGTGCAGCATATGAACTGTAATTATTTTTGCATCGGCTCGAAGGAACGTGCTCTTATTTGTATATTTCTGGTTAGGTAAGGATGACGACGTTGTGAAGCTATATGATCTAACATCATTGTGCAGTGATGTGTCGGAGGAGAAAGGACAGAATCCTTTTACCGTGCCTGTTGCAATGTTGTTATACAGAGTAGCTCGTAATATGAAGTATTCACCCGATTACCATCGCCACCAGGGCACGATCAGAATGCTGCTGAAGAATTGCGTTCAGCTGTTAGCCAAAGAGAAGTACCCACAGATCGTTACATCCGCGCACTTTATGCTTTCGGATCTGTACATACCCTCGGCCACGGACCCAGCCAGTCCCGGACTATCGGATCAAAGCGACGAGGAAGACGCACACAGCGAGTGCAGTACAAGCCACGAGACCGAAAAAGAGGAGGATGAGGATGAGGATGAGGATGAGGAGGAGGAGGAGGAGGAAGAGAAGGAAGAAGCCTGTGCGGCGATCAAATCCCTAACGCTAGCCAACAGTAAGTAAACATCGTCGACTCGGTTCTGGTCCCCTTCAAAATTCCAATGCGACTTAAAATCGTGTTTGCAGTGAAAGAACAAGTGGAACGTGAGCAACCAAAGTTCAAAGCGCCACCGATCTCCGGCACGATAGAGGAGAGATGCCTCTCCGGCTTGGAGCACGTGACCCACGGCCTCGAGTGCCTGCGGTATTTCCCGACCGATGACAACAGCGACGAGGAGCAAAAGAAAGCGGAGGAACGTGAAAAGGAGAAACGCGAGTACGAAGAGACGCACCCGAACGTGGCGAAACCGTTCCAAGCGATCCCGATGCCGTACGCGCCGTTGAACCGGCAAGACCGAGACGTTGCAGCAGACGTTGTCACGCCGGAGGAGAGTCCAACGACGCACAGTCCCACTCACAAAAAGAAGGCTAAGCAGAAGAAGAAGAAGAAGAGCGAGAAGAATGTGGCAATGGAAGCGACGATTGAGAACGCGTTGCTGTGCAAACCCAACACGCAGACCCTGCCCACGTGGCAAGCGCCGAAGAAGAGCGATAGTGTCAGCTGGAACGCTCACTTGAAGACGCTGTTGTACGAGAAAGCATCTTTGATATTCGCCGTGCTCGCCGAGAAAGAGTACGTCAACAAGAATTACGGCGCCTCTCTGAGGTACGTGCTGGACGTGTTGTACTGTCAGAAGATATTGGAAATCTTCTGCGGCGTGCGGAACAACAAGTCGATCAGTTATCTGCTGGGTCGCGCGGGGGACTGCTGTTTCATGACCGTGCAAGATTGGGCCAGCGTGGACAAGCACAGGAAGGACTATGAGATGAAGAACGAGTCGGAGGAGAAGATAATCGAGGAGCTGTACAGAATGGAAGATTTGGACATGAGTAAATGTCGAAGTGTACACGCACTTGTACGCGTGTGCACGTGACCGTTGCTGATCCGCGCTTCTCATTGCAGACGCTGTCGAATTGCTGCCGGCGAGACTGGACAGTCTGGAGTCCGCTTTGATTTCCTCGCACAAGTGCTACAACAAGGCGCTGTCGCTGGAGCTGACCGACATGGACAGGAATAACCTGCTGAGGCGATTAGGGAACATTCACAACGAGCTCGGCGTGCTCTTTATGAACCAAGCGAGCGGCACTTTCCAAATGGCAGGTAATTCCCGCTGCGCCTCGTCGAAAAATACAGCAAACTCGCGTCGTTTGCTGACCGACGGGTCGCGTTCGTCCACAGTACCGTGCCAGCAGGAGCACCGGACGGACGACGACTCGCCGAGCACCATGGACGTGGCTACGCTCCTTACATGTTCGCTGAATCACCTTGAGTCGGGCATCAAGGCCTTCGAGGCCGTTCACGACGAGGCGAATCTCGCGCTCTTGCACTCCAACACGGGCCGACTCATGCGTCTCTGCGCGCACATGTACGCAAAACAGAACACCCAGGAGCGGCAGTTCTACAGTAAGGCGCTCGCGAGTTATCAGAGGGCCCTGCAGGTCTTGGGCGAGAGGAAAACCAACTCGACGATTTGGGACACGGTCACGTGGGACTTGTCCACCACGTTGTACTCGAGGGCCACGATGTTGCAGGATTATCCCATCGGCGAGCAAAAGGTACGAGACACGGCTCGGAGTCCTCGGAGAGCGTCGATGCGCGCGGATTAACACGTTGACTGCCACGCGTTGCTTCTCGTTAATTATACACGAGAGCTTAACCGAGACGGTTGAATCCACCAACGGTACAGCGGATAGATGCGGATGGAGATTTGCCTCGTTTCGTTCTATTGTGATATCGATCGTGCGGTCGATTTTGACAACTACGGTTAATCGACGACTGAGTAAAATCAATGCTGACGGACAGGTGAAATCTGGCTGGACACTGATGGGCACACGCATATTTAATAATACTTACTATTAATTTATATACGTATTTTTGGTGATGTTTACTTTATATTAATTCGATATGTTAGTAATATTTATTTATATAACTTTATACGACGCGATAGTATCACCGTGCCGATCCGTCATTGGCCAGCAGGGCAATCACAACGTGTTGATCCGTGTGTTCCTCCGTGAGAAAAATCGCGCGACGCAAGTAAACGCGAACGAATCTGGGGATCTGAGCGGGCCGCTCTTATTGCAGAGCGAGGAGGAGCTAGAAAGGGAAGTGGTCGATATGCTGCAGAAAGCACTGAAGCATTGCGACGTGGAGACACCGGGACCGCGGCAGCCGGTCTATCAATTCCGTGCCGCGAACATTCAGCATCGATTAGCTTCGTTGTACCATCGCGTGTACCGCGAGCTCGAATCTGACGCGGACAACACCAAGAAGAAGACGAGCTTGCAGCTGTGCAAGCTGTATTACGATAAAGCAGCGAAGCTGCTGCTGTCATTAGAACAGACAAAGGAATTCCTGACGCTGCAACTGGAGAGGGTCGCTCTGTCGGAATACCAAGCGCGCAGTATGTCCTTTGGGAGGAGCTTCTGTTTTTTCAATCGGATGCAAGATAAAAGGAGTCTTCAAGAGCCTTTAAGAAGTACACTTGCGCGTGGATCTCGTAGTGTGATAAAATATTGGTATCATTTTCTAATTACAAATAGTAAAAAATTCTTGTCACCTTGCGAGATCCGCGCGTGTGCAGGCTCCCTTATCATCCGATTGAATATCAGCAGAGCCTTCTCTAGATATATCGTTTTTTTTTTTTGCTACTTTTTCGGTCGTTACAACGGGACATGTATTTTCGCGTCTTCAGATGCCACAACCTTCAACAGCAAGCTGAAGGCGTATCAGAACGGTTTGGAGTTGATTCTACAGTGTATACCGATCATGGAGATGCTCTGCGAGCGAAGCAACGCGACGAAGGACAAGTCGCTTCACGACGGTGAAGCGGAGGACGATGTCGCTGCGCGCGAAGAAGCGGCCGAGGAGCAGAAGTTGAAGGACGAGGAGGAGAATCTCGTCGTTCTGCTCGAGCAGAGAGTGCAGTTCATTCTGCGATCGCTAACCAAGCTGTTTCTCAATAAAAATCCCGGATGCAACAAGAAAGAGTACGTCGTCTTTTCAAATCCATTCAAGCGCGATATCGTCCACGAGACGCGAGCTCGGCGTGAGTACGTCTTGATTTAACGTGTTCTTCCTCGATGAAATTTCAGGAACGAGGCACTCGGCAATCGGTACAGACTGTGCTACGCGCGTACGTTGCGAGCGGAGACGATGTCCGGATTCGCTCTGGTGAAACACATGACGGTGCTTCTACGGGAACTCAGCGGCATGTTGCCGTGCGCGGAGTCGACGTAATCGATATATCGCGTAGCGTAGCAGTGTGTGTGTGTGTGTACAATTAACGAGTGTTCAAGGAGAGTCTGTAATTATGTATGATACCGGAGCTGCTCTTTGGGAGACCGACGGAAAATCAACAGCCCGCCCTCGATCTTTTGAAGTTACGCAGCACGCGTACAAAGAGAAACGATTACTGTTACCTTAGATAGCGTTTAAATTATGACGAAGACCGGTGCTTCTCATCGCATCAAACTTTACGATGAAAGAGACAGTGAGCGTACGTGAAAGTGAGGACAATTTTTTTTCAATTTGTCCTGTAAATAAAATATGTATTTTTATTCTACAAATTAAAGATACCTCATACCTCGCGACTTGTCATACCACGAAGACTTGTCTCCCAGACGCATATATGTATTCCGATTCGCCGGGCCTCATCGCGTTGTCCTTTTCACACTGTGGAAGAGCAACTGTTATTTCCCGAAAGCTCCCGGGAAGACCCGGGCGAGTCCCACCACTCGTGTCCTTAATCGCGACTAATTAATCCCCGGATTGCGCGAGCCTTCCACTCGACGAGTGAACGGCGACGGGGCGGATGTGTGGGCACGACGTCTTGATTGAAATGAAGACAGGGTCGGAGAGTGAAGTTAAAGTCTAAATCTATCACCAAGGTCGAAGTTCGGTAGGCGTTCTCCGTCTCCGACCGCCGCCGCCGCCGCCGCCGCCGCCGCCGGCAGAAAGACGGATGGCGGCACGAGAGTTTGAATGAGGCTACACCGGCTTGTATAACTTTCTGATATACACGAGAGCCGCGCCCGCTGCTCGGTCGACCGGAAACTCGATAAAAAACTCATTTATTAGAGAATCCGAGATGAACCGTTGTTGCGTGGTCGAGAGGAGAAAGAGGAGAGGGGGAGAGAAAACACGACCAGGGTGGAAGATTAAAGGGGAAAGAGGGGCGAGAGCCCGGTAAATCAGCGCTATTGGGCTCGACGGTGCGTGCAGCAGAAACGTTTCCGCGTCATCGGCTTCCTTGTGATATCTGTTTCGTCAGGTATCTCCTCGGAAGACACGCGAGACGTGGAGAGAATAAGACGGTGAGAAAGAAAAAGAAAAAGAGAGAGAGAGAGAGAGAGAGACGTGGGATCTTGGAAAATTCGCGTTCGTGCTTCGTACGATGATTCAGCGCGCGCGAGGCTCTAAAATGCTACTGGAGCGTGGTGAGCGATCGAGTGAGTGGACGCGGAGGGAGAGGGGGGTAAGGAATAAAATGATCAATTACGACAGCAATGCGATAAATGAAGCAAGACGAATGAAACGCGAAGACCGGCCGGTTTTTCGTGCTTTTCCCTGCGGGAAAGCGCTCTCTTCTTGACACACGCTGCCATAATGAGCTCCATTATCGCCGTATCGGCGAGCGTGTACGCGATGAAGGATTCACGAAGGATTTTCCAGCTGGAGCTCGCGTCGCAATGGTCCATGCATATTCATTCATTATCGACGCGTTTCTTCCGCTGTGTATCGAATGGAATACTCGCGCGCGCGCGCGCGTGCGTGTAATCGCACCGTTGCCGGTCTCGCGGCGGAAATCAGTAATCAGCGCGCGAGGCCATGGGATACATTTCTAACGCTGCAAAGGTGTCTTTCGTGTGCCGGCCGGGTCATTCTCTCGACTCTCATCGAGCGAATCTCTCGACTCGATGAATCGTGCACGTCGTTCGCGTACGGTGAATTCAACTTTGCACACAACGCCGCAGAATCGAGCCCGCAATTTCGCCTCTTTCCTATTTGTTTTTTGTTCCTTCCTCTTTCCCTGTCTCTCTCTCTCTCTCTCTCTCTCTCTTTCCCCGACCTCTCTATCCCTTTTTCATATCGCCGCAAACGATCGGTCGCGCGTCCAAGCGCGGTCCCGCCCGCGATCTTCCGCGTCGCCCGAGGATGCGCGTGCGGCGCGTATCCGAGTAATATACTGCGTAGCGTTGCGAACGATAGGCAAAGGCAATCGCACTGGCGTTCGCTTGATTAATTTTAACGAAGGTAGGAAACCAATCCATCGCGTCGACGGTGCGACACCGGCGGCGGCGGCGGCGGCGGCGGCGATGTCGGCCGGTCGAAGATCGATGAACTACGCGAGCGGATGGCCGAGCTGGCCCGCCGAGATATAACAATTCCAGCTGTCAGTCGCATCCCTCACGCTCGAATAGACTCAACCCCCTTGCTCCGGAAGAGATACAGCAGAGAAAGAGGGAAAGAGAGGGGGGGGGAGAGAGAGAGAGATGGACTGGGAGAGAGACAGGAAAGGCTAGAGCGTATGTCGAAGGCAAAACAAAAGGGAAGTGGAAAAAGAGTCGAGCCGATTCCGCGTTGTCTCCTTCCTGTTTTCATTTCCCGATCCTGATTTCCGTATTCGAGACGAAACTCCGTGCGGTTTTGACCTTTGGTGAACGTTGGACTCAGCGAGGCGCGGCTTAAGTAGTCTCTCAGCAGTCTCGACTACCGAATGACCTTCTTGTGGCGTCTCGAAAATTTATATATGTAGTTTTTTTAATTCGTAATGCGCAGTTAAGAGCTTACTAGGTAAGGGGGGGGGGGAGAGAGAGAGAGAGAGAGAGAGAGCGCAATCGATCACGAGTGAAAGGTCCGTTCTGTTCACAAAACTTTAGAGCCCAGACGGTTTTCGCTAAACGATTTCAACGATTAAAATTGCAAGCATACACGTTTACGTCATCTGTTAAAAAGAGAATCTACTAAGATCTATTAAATTCTATTAATCTATGAACAAGATAAAGCAAAAGTAGAATCTAAAAGTAGACTTTTCTCTAGAAACTCAATGATGACGAGACAAAGCAACAATATTTGTCAGAAAAGGGGGATCAGCTGGTTAATTATGAGACAGAGGTTGCTTTGTTCTCAAGTTCCTCCGGCGGAGGGGGAAGGAGAAAGTCTAAATCTCCCGCGGGCGGCTGCGTACGACGCTCTAAATTCTTCTCAGCGGCAGCTACCGAGCGATGAAACGAAGACCTGCGAAATGTCATCGAGATCGCCCGCGACATTGCGACTTCGGTATCGACGTTGCGCGACGTTGCGGTTAAATATCTGCCAGGCGAGAAGATGCGCGCGCGACCCACCTTTAAATTCCCACTTTTAATGGAACACGCTCGACGTGGGTGACAGGTGTCGCGAAAGTGTGCGCCGCGGGGAGTTCGGATATCGCGATTTATTAAAAGATACACCGGGCCATACGGAACGCGACCCGATCTCGTTGGGTCGACACGCCGTCATCGGCTTTTCGCGAGCGGAGCGGAGCGATGCGCCGCTCGCTGCTTCTCGAAGAATGCCACTTCGCCGGCGTGCATCACCGACAGTCACTTGTAGCCGAGGTTTCCTTTATTTCCCTCCTCGCGGCTAACGATCGAACGCAAAGCGGAGGAGGGATCTGAAGAGATCAAAGTCGGTTGAATTCTCGGGGTGCCATCAAGGTTCGATTGGACTCGACCGGAGCTGTGCTCGCTTTGTACTTTTGGGCAATTCTAGCTGTTTGCGAAGACCGACACACCCGGTGACTCATTGCTCCTCGTCGGGAATTTTTCAAGCGACGAAGAAACTCCCTTCGACATAAAATGCAGTCTTTAATTCATTTCCCCTTCGGCTACACCGAAGATTAAGAGAGATTCGTGTACACTCCCGAGTGTCGAGAGTGGCAAACAAGAAGCGCCTTACGAAGCTGGGAACGCGTTACATCCCGTGCGAGAGAATGACGTAGTCGAAACTTGTAGCGCGCCAGCCGGCTCTGTGCATAATGGCACAAATTGCAACGTGTCCGCCAGGAAGAAACTGTGACACCGACAAGCGCGTCCCGTCCTCCCCGCGAAAAGATTGCCTCGGGGGGCGAGGGGGGGGGGGGGGAAGCCGAGAGGATTAAAGTCGCGCCTACGGAATTCCGCGCGTGCGGAATTGCGCGTTTCCATATTCGCGAATATCTTCCGCGCGTTACTTCCCGCGCTTCGCTCCCCGAAACGTTATCTCGGAG